ATGCTCTCCAGTTCCATCCATGCTGTTGCAAATGGTAAGAATTCCTTCTTTTTTACAGCAGCATAGTATTCCATCGTGTAGATGTACCACAGTTTTCTAATCCATTCATCTGCTGATGGGCACTTAGGCTGTTTCCAGATCTTAGCTATGGTGAATTGTGCTGCTATGAACGTAGGGTGGCATATATCCTTTCTGATTGGTGTTTCTGGTTTCTTGGGATATATTCCTAGAAGTGGGATCACGGGGTCAAATGGGAGTTCCATTTTTAATTTTTTGAGGAAACTCCATACTGTCTGGGTCAGGTCTCATGCCTAGGTTGCAGGCTCCATCCCCAGTGGCGGGAGTGCAGGAGGCAGCTGATCAATCATTCTCTCTCATCATTGATGTTTCTATCTCTCTCTCCTTCACCCTTCCTTTCTGAAATCAGTAAAATTCTATTTTTAAAAAAAGGTATTCATGTTTCTGTGGTATTGGTTGTAATGTCTCCTCTTTTATTTTATTTATTTATTTATTATTTGTTTTAAATCCTCACTTGAGGATATTTTTTCCATTGATTTCTAGAGAGAGTGGCAGGGAGGGAGGAGATGAAGAGAAAGAGAGAGAGAAACATTGATTGGTTGCCTGCCTCTCACTCCCCTACCATGGCTCAGTAAGCTGAAACTGCGGTACATGTCCTTGAACAGGAATAGAACCCATGACCCTTTGGTCCGTATGCCAGGGTGTTAACCACTGAGCAAAACCCGCCAGGGCTATTTACTTCTTTTTAAAAAATTAATTTCAGAGAGAGAAAAAGAGAGTCAGAGAAATACCAGTATATGAGAGAATGTTGTTCTGCTGCCTCCTGCACTGCCCCCAACCAGGGATTGGCAATATGCAGCCAATCAATCTTTCTCTCTCTTAAAGTTGTTTCACCCTCCCTACCTCTCTTTTGAAAAAAATCAGTAAAAACATGTTTAAAAGAAAAAATGTATAATGTTTTTATTCTCTTGATGAATCAATTTCTTTATCATTATTCTAGAGGCTTGGTGCATGACATTCTTGCAGTGGGGAGGAGGGGTTGGTCCCTCAATCTGGCCTGCGTCCACTCACAATCCAGGACCCCTCGCTCCTTACCTACCGCCTGCTTGCTGCTCCTTACCCTTTGGCTTGCTGCTTCTTACCACTGCCTCGGAGGCAAGAGAGGCTCCTGCCACCACCACTGTGCTTGCCATCCATGATCCCGGCTTCTGGCTGAGCTGCGCTCCCCATGTGGGAGCCCACTGAGCACCAGGGGGCAGCTTCTGTGTTGAGCATCTGCCCCCTGGTGGTCAGTGCGCATCATTGCAACGAGATGTTCTGGTCGTTCCCCCATAAAGGTCACTTAGGCTTTTATTATATAGACTAGAGGCCCGGTGCATGAAAATTCATGCACTGTAGGGGGATCCTTCCACCCGGCCTGCCCCCTCTCACAGTCCAAGAGCCCTCAGGGG